TGTAATTGTACCTTTGCTTTTCACTGGGCCTGTATCCTTGTAATTGTACCTTTGCTTTTCACTGGGCCTGTATCCTTGTAATTGTACCTTTTAAGGTACAGAAACAGACTCTGAGGAACATCCCAGAGGTACAAAGCATTAATAATGTACCATTCCTCAGAGTCCATTTCAGTACCTTAAAAAGGTACAATTACCTCCAGCTGAGGGTTCAGTTGGCAGATCCTTGAGGGTACAGCCCCAGTGACAAGCAAAGGTACACATTGTTCCCCTTTCTTCTGAGAGTGAAGAAACAGATAATACAGAACAGTACAAGAATCTAAATAAATATAAATCTAAGCAACTACCTTCTCACAATTCTTAATAATGGCAACATAAGAGTTTGCTTGGTATGAATGTGAGCCTGTTTGGTGCTGGTTTTTTAGGGATCTACACAAACACATCCATCAAGCTCGGACAAACCCAACCTCCTGCTTCTCCTTCATGCGTACTGTCGTGACAATGCGGTGCTCCTGCCAGCCCATTCATCAAGACACTAAAGCCGTCTATACATCTGCATCAGACCCTGCACTGTAAAGTCACAGTATGGCAATACAAGAAGCTTTGCGCCCTGTTAAAGTCAAGCCAATCTATCCTATCCCCATTAACCCATGATAGTTATCACTTTACTTTCTCCCCTTGGTTTTATGGATACCTCAATAAACAAAGCACTTAATGCTGATGAAATGATGGCACCCTGAAGACACTAACATCAGGTCTGCAGTAGAAAAAAAAATTGCAGCTTAATCGTTATTTACTTTCTTCAATTTCTTAGAAAAAGAAATTAGTGAAGAAACATTTTAGAATAAAGTGTTTCTTGTTTTGATTTTTCTTTTTTTTATGCATTTAGTGTCAATTAAAATCCATCCTTGAGGTCACTTTTACCGGGAACAACATTCAGTGCTATTCTAACTGTCTGTGAAGTAAAAATAACGGCTGGATTTTGGCTATCTGACATTCAATTAGAGCCCCGGTTATAAATCGCGTAACAGTGAGCGCTTAACTTGACGTCAGTGCGATGTCAGGTCACTGTCCTGGGTCCTGAACACACATTTGGCACGAATGGTGCTGAACGGACAGCCGGCATCACCACTTCAGCCCGCCGCTCACAGCTGAATTCCCTGCTGAAAATGTTAATGGTGTAGGATAGACATTTGGAATGGCATACGCATATTTTAGAAAATTGTAAAGGGGTCGGACAGACTTGCTTGCTTAAATAAAACAAGTAATAAGATCCCCCTAGTCCGAACCTCATATCAACCATTTCTATCTCTTGAACTTCTGTGATCCAGTTCCACCCCTTGTGTGTCGAGCACAACAATCCTCTTAGAAAATAGTGAGCACCTCCCCCTGGTCTCTCTCCCTCTTGCGCGTCCTTTTATGTCACTCGGCTTCAGTCCTTACCTTCCCCGAGATTCGCTCTGCACTAGTTATCCACCTGATCTCTCCCGTATCAGGAGCCCAACACGCTTCCTATCCGGCTCAGCTGTCCTCATCGGATATTTCTCCTCTCCGTTTTCTGTTTCTATCGCTCCAAGTAGACTAGATCGATGCCAACAATCTGACCCGACTGAGAAAGGATTTCTCTCACAGGAGCATGAGAAGGACTGCTAAATCATCTACAATCCAGTTTCCAAGATTGGGTTACCAGCATGAGCACTGGAAGCACAAGAATCAGCAGTATAAGTTTTTCGGTGACATATGAAATTACCGGCGGCAGATCCTAGTCAAAGAGGAGAATCAATTTTAGGTAAGCTTGCATATCTATCTATCTATCTATCTATCTATCTATCTATCTATCTATCTATCTATATATATATATATATATATATATATATACACATATATATTTCAAAACACTTTAAATATTTTATTGGCTTTGGAGCTATTGTTGAAAGAATATATTACGGCTTTATTAAAACTTGTTTTGGGAAACAGTAGTCTATAGCCTATTATAAAATATTTCAGATTGGGTATATTTACAGCTGTATATAGCTGCGTGGTCCACAAGTTTCCTGATGTATTGTAGTTTCTTGCCTTATCATTTTTATTCTATATGCATAGGATGTGCTGATCTGTTCACTAAACTTCGCATTTGTGGAAATGCTTTTCGCACTATCGTACAACAGGCATTGCCCAAAAACACTGCAATGAGATTGAAAGGTAGTAACTGCAATCTGTGTTCAGACCACGCATCACTATCTTTTATTTGGTAATTAAAATAATATTGATATAATTCTCCCATGGGCTTTAGGTCGCGTAACAACGCATGCCACTTCCTCCTATATAGCCTAATATAATCGAATTGCGCTATCCAGTAAAAAAATATTTATATGATTTTTATTTTATATGCAAGGAACGCAGACACTGCAACGTTGGTTAACCAAGGCAAAAGTCTGTTCTTGATTTGCTGACAGCATAAAACCCGACGCTTGTGGCTGCTGAAGTATGAGAACTCGGAGCAAGGGCACTAAAAAGCCACACAAAACTACGAAAGCCACTTGATCATCTTACTCATCTCCGTAAAACACAAGTAGATGCTCCCTCGCTATGCGTGTAATAAAAGTAATCATAGCCAGACAGAAAAGCCACAACAAAATCACGTTCAAGCAGCTGGCGTCATATTGTTTGCACGCTCAGCTATTTTTTTCTCTCCCTAAAAACACATTTAAGATCAAGCGTTCACAAAATAAGCCACCGTTATATAGGCCTATATATATATTTTAATTTCAGTTTTTTATATTATTTTTCGTATAATTCTTGTGTTGATTTGGCAACCATAAGTCCACATTTTCAGATCTGCAGTTCCAGTCAGCTACTGGAACTCACCTTGTACACATTGTACAACTCGCTTGCCCTCACTTGCCAGACACATAGGACATCATGTATCATGCAAGTTGGTTATACAGAATTAAAAGATCATATTAAATATAGCATTTCAGTATAACAGTATCTGTACCCTGCGAGATGTATTAATTTGCAAAGTGAATTCTGATAGGAAGAAAATGAGACTTGAAGTGCCCCTCACTCGTCTGCACTTCCTTGAATTAACGGCGGGGGGAGCCCAAGCACTTTCACTAGGGCTACATTATCGGAATCGTCAAAGGAAAGCTAATTGTAGAGGCTATTCATTGTTAGGAAGATAAGATGTAGCACTTATGTTATGGGGAATAAATTTCGATACCTATAGATAATTATAGTTTTTCGCAGGTGTAAAAATGAGCTTATGTTATCTTTTTTTTTTTTAGCAAACATTTCATTAAAAAACTAATAATAATAGTTATGTATTTTGTGTTTCCTGTGCAGCCTTAGACCTATCATTACCAGTAATCTAGAAATAATCAGTTTTACGATCCACAGTATCTACAGGGAATTCACATAAGACGCATATAAATTGCATTAAGTGAATTTCAACTGTGCTTTAACTTGTTCTATCCTGATCAAATCTTTGCCAGCCAAGCCATTAATGCGATTCTTGTCGTAAAGTTTCGTAGGCAGGAAATCACTAAAGAGTTTTCAGAGAGTTTTACGACACCCCTGTTCTTAAAAAACTTTTGTTTACGATGTCTGGATTAAAAACCATGTTGTAACACGAGATAACCCTACACCAGAGCTGACAATCACATACACACACACACACACACACACACACGTTTGTAATTATATCTTTGTGGGGAATCTCCATTCATTTCTATGGGGAAAACTCTAATCCCAGCATGAGGACCTTAACCCCTACCCAGCCCTAACCTTAATCATAAGTAACCCAACAAAATACGAGACATTTTTAGTTTTCTGATTGCATTCACAGATCATTGTGGGGACCTGAAAAAATGGTTCCCACAACCGTCAAAATATCAGGTTATCAGGTCCCCATCATGTAATGTTTACCTGTACCACACACACACACACACACACAGAGAACTGAAACTTTTCCCAATATGGTTAACAAAAAAGAAGCTCCTGTGTTTGAGGCAGCCAGACCAAACCATGCCGGACTCCGCCCTCAAGCACGTTAAAGTGATGTCACTGGCTAATGAATGAGAATAACCAAGACCCTGTTTGTCGTGCTGCTAAAGTAAACCGTGATTTTTATTTTTACACATTGTTCTAAACCAAAAACTCCAATTAGTGTATAAAATTAATTTGTCTATCAGCTCATGTGTGTGCAAGTAAATACATATTTATGCAACACTGCAAACTCCATGTTAAAAAGTTAAATGAATGTGTGCCGTTGTGCTGCTGTTTTAGTCACGGAAGAGTGAGATTACGAATTATTAGCTGACATTATGTTCTTTCTTTATTAAAAAACGTTAAATTTGAATGCGTGTTGGAAATCCGAATAATGTAATATAATCATAATCCACACACACACACACTGTAGATGGTCATTACACTAGTATTGTAGTTAAAAATGGGTTTACAAAAATGACATCACATCCAGAAGACTGTATGTAATATAATCGGAATGATGCACATTAGAAACTAAGAAAGTTTTTGCTGAATATGAGAAACATATCATTTTCTTTACAGAACATTTGCTTGATTCCTGAGTCTAGCCTGCAGGCATCAAAAGGACATATTTTACTGAAAAACTAGGCAAGGTAGCAGCACAGAGCTTTCTCATGGAGGCAAGCATGCAGAAGAGAGCTTCTGTAAATCAGGAGAAGGGCAACTCCTGCCTCCACTTGCTAGGGAAGCAGCCCGGTGTGTGTGGGCAGGACTGCGGTTCCCTGGGATACATAATGGAACAGAGTTGATTTTAAAACCTGGGCAGTATTTAGCCCCAAACACATTAATGCATTTTTAGATGAATGACTGTTTTGTTGCCATATATAACTTATAAATAACATTAATGAAAATTAGTGACAGAGTAATGCATTTGTATTTGTTTCAGAAACAGAACGCTGTGCATTCCTAGGTCCATGAGGTCAGGCCAGTCCTTTGGAAACAGCTCGAAAGTCTTACGTATTACAACATGCCTGTCCTCAATTTTCACGGTCTGTTTTACATAGTTGAAATGGCATTTAACAATTCTGTTAAGTAAAAAGTTCCTGGCTGATCGGCACAGACAAACTTGTCATACCAGTAGCGGGGGGGTGGGGGGGGTGGTTAAACTTGGTGACCTGGAAACCCCGCTATAAAGGATAAAAATTTGTAATGTAATTCTGTAGGTTCAAGTCCCAAAAGTGAGTTATCCTGAGATGCTTCATTGAAATATCTAGTTGTCAGCCAAGAAATAAATAATAGTAATTATGGCCAAAAATAATCCTAAAAAGTACATCCATACATATATCTGTTATCCTTCCAACCAGTATAGTGGGGGTCTGAAGCCTATTCCACAAGGCAGTGGAATACCTTGCATGGGATGTCAGTCAAAAAAAGTCCAATAATGGAAGAGGAAAATTCATGCCTGCTGGGTGAATGAAACGCACATCTTGCGTGACTATGTTTTTTAAAAAATGTTTTAGGACAATTCAAGAAAAGACGCTTTGAGCTTTATTTTCTGGATGGAATGCTAATCCATCACAGGGCACACACACACACACACACACACACGCACACACATGCACTATGGACGATTTAGCAAATGCCAGTCCATTTAACTGCCTGTCTTTGGAACCTGGCAGAAAACCTTTGCAATAAGGGAAGAACATTCAATCTCACACACACAGGGCAGGGACAGGATTTGACCGTCACACACTGGAGGTGTTACATGACAGTGCTACCCACTGAACCATCAGGCCAGCATTATTTGGACAAAACAGACAGCTACCAGTGTTTCATCACCACATAGACCTTCCACAGTATTTCACAGTGTTTCTGGAATTAATACTTGTTGTACGTACTACTGCATGTCACACTATTACCGGGGAAGCTAATGCATATTCAGAACTGCATGCTCATGTGTTACGTTACACTGGGCACAAGCTCTACATTTATAATCACCTACAGTCACTGAAGCAAACATAGGTTATAATGACAGTGTCATCTGTTGAATTGGGTACCACTGGAGGTCTACACCTGTTAAGCAAACCCACCAATGAGTGGGTGTGAGAGTAACAATGCCACGTTACTATTGGATGGATATCTGCTCAGTGATCAGATTCATTAAACAATGTTTTATTTTCTTCTATAAATGTTTCCTAGTTTTGTTTTGTTGTTCTTGCAGTGCCATTTCATTTCATAGACCATGCTCTTTCATAATTTGTCTCACATTGCTCAAGATGATACGATAATATCCATGCCAGTGGTTCTCCGTTTTAAGTAGGTAGGTTGCAGCATAGAGAATCAAGACATATTCAGAAAACACAATAAAGGTGTGAGACATTTAAATGTGAAATGGAAAGCTAAACGTGGAAGATTATTGGATATTTAATTTGAAATTCCTCATAACTAATCCTATCATTTGTGATGTAGAACTAGAATTTATATAACATTAACTGTAACATTTTATCGGAGAGTGTAACATAATGTATCAGATATGACTGAAAATACACTGTTACTAGTCTGCAATGAATACAGTAATAATTATTTACAACCATGTGTGAATATATTACCTACTACAATCCTGCACTTAAGTAGTCACTCGTAGTGTGTGACATCTAATAGTATGTGTTATGCGGTATCATTTAAGCCTATAAATGTTTATTTCATGCAGTGACAAAACATTTGCACTTATTTATGTTTAAATAAACTTAATGCTTTTGGATAAAACAGTGTGTGACCACCCATAGGGGGAAAAATTGTCGT